GGAGCAAGATGTGCTACCCAGAATAAAAGATGGTTCCTTAGTAACCGAACTTGGAAGATCTTCCCCAGCGAGAGATCACGATGATCAAAGAAGCAGCAGTGGAATGCCTTCTGGATTTGGGACCACAGGGATGCCTTTGTACCTGTGGTGGTAGCTTTTATCCTTTCCTCCTCCCCCTTTTTACCTCGTCTTTCCTATTTTTCTTCCTTTCTATCGCATGCCGCTTTATGGGCAAGACCAATGAAGTCTTTGTGTGTTGATAACTAAACTCCCTGGGCTTGTTGCCATTTCATTTTTGCACTTCGGGATCACAGCTGAAACAAACCATCACGTATCCACCGAGGAGTGGACTGTGACAGCTATAGATAACAGAAAAAATCACCAGAAACTGGCATTTTTTACTGGCTATGGAATACAAACCGAATTTCCCACAAATTTTAGATCTGTATGTATTTCCAAACACAGTGAAAAATGCATGTTGAATAATAACTATATGCTAGAGGAAAGATGAAGCTTACCCTCTAGCAGTCGTTTTGTTCTGTACGGGGTCTATACATTGGCTCTAAAAAAATCCTCTAACACCAGGGGCTTTTTTCTGCAGTCAGTCCCCAGTTCCAATGGATAAGCCACAATGAAGCTGCCTTGCAGCCAGCTGGTTTACACTGGTCTCAGCTGGTAAGCTGTTATAAACCAGCTCTTGGTAGCTCAGAGCCATTTGCTGTCAGGTGTGTGTGCCCATGTGGCATAAACCACAGAGGCAGACTGTGCAGCTCCCGGCTGGCACCTTTCAAATTGCGAGGAGCAGTGCCTGTAATCGCTCTAGATCTCAATGCACTGCTCACGTCTGCGGGTCTACCTAATTTGCAAGAAACACTGAAGGCCCCAGTACTGCCCAGAACACAGAATCTTGGGAGGACATGGCTTAAGAGACCTGCCACAGGCCCAGCAGGGCAGTGTGGTTTGCTAGGCAGCCTCTTCGTCTGCCATCCCTACTCACTTCGCCCTTCTCGGCTACAAACCGGCGCGTGGGGCAACATTCTCTTTGAAAATCTCGGCATCCAGACGCAAAAGCAGCTCCTTTCGCCTGCAGAGCGCAACCCTTAGGCACGGAACTAACCCGGCTGACGCGCAGGGACTTCAGCTCAAGCTCTAGAAGCGGAACTGCCCTGACAGGAGGCAGCACCGGACGGGAAAGGCACAAAAAACAACCCCCCCCTCCCAAGCACCCGCACAGAGCGCCCACCCTCCCGCACCGACCCCCCGCACCGCGCCCCCCCC